TGCTTAAACACTACAAAATATTTGAATTACATGGAGAATCTATCATGAAAAATCTTAAGTGTCTGTGCGCTTCTTAGGTCCTTTCTGGGAATGAGATCTTTATGCTTAAAAATGAAACCAGGGCAGACATGTGCAATAATAAAAGCAGAAGTGTAGCTGAAGTACCAACCTTCTCAAAAAAAAAACATTCTCAATAAAAGAATAAATAAGTAAATAAGCACAAAACCAGACAACAAATTTTAAAAAAGGGTAGATACATACATACAGTACATCATACAATTTCTTTCATTTCAAGAACACTTTTAATTCACGCTGTCAGCTTAATCCATTTTTATGTGGGTCTTTTTTGTGGCATTTAGCAGTTTCCTTCACTTGTGAGAAACATGACAGTGGTTGTTTCTCATGTGAGAGGAAAACTATTGAGAGGCCCCTTCTAGTTTTGCGGTGAAAGGTGACATAACCCATAATTCCACTAAAACCACAATGTTCTTTTATCAGATGTTCCTCTCTGATACTGTGAGGGTGGTTCACATGATGCTAACCAAAGGACTGAACTTCAGAAAATGCACAAAGGTACTTATGTTCAAGTCATTATGTGGGGCATTAGAAAATAGGCAACCTAGCAGGTAAAGTATAATATAGATGAAATCATAAAATTTTAAGCAAGTTATTCAAGAAGCCTGTTCGCTCTACTTCTCAATCTTTAAGTGGTTGGCCAGTGTAGCTAATACAGTTTGTGAGTGTGAATTATTAACTTACTGTGTAAAGGCAGCAGTTAATTTGTTATATTAGATTTATCTGGGGTTTTTTTTGCAAATGGTTTAACAGAATAAAAGATAATGCTGAAGTTCAAAAGCACACACTGGTGCCTGCTAACAATGGCTAGCTACTGACACAGCTAGCAGTCAAAGGTAACTTGTTTAGCTCCCTCTAAACAAAAATATTTGATATTACACTATTTTTTACAAAAGGAGTGACTGTAAGTGTGTCAGTGTCATTTTTAAGTCATTGTGTTATCTGTTATTTTACAGTAAAACTGATTTAATCTATTTAGTCTCATAAATGCTAACATTGTGCTAGCACTTTTATACTGAATATCCATTTACGTATATACGAAAGGACAGCCTCCCTCAATGGCATCCATTATCAAAAGATAACTACAAAAAATATGAGAAGCCTTGTTATAACAGGGCAGTAGCTTACATCAGTGTAAAAGAAGCAGCTGGTTATCAGACAAGGTAGAGACAAGCAGGGGCTTGACCCAAGATGCAACATCCCAGACAAAACATGCTGTGCAGGCTCCTCACAAGGTTAAGCTACTTTATACCGTGAAACTACAAATTTAAAGTGTTATCATCTACTTTTATTTAAAAATCCCCCCAAAAAGATTACCTAGGCTACGTTTGTGCTTACATCTGACTTATGCGGTGTCACTGGATATATTGCTGTGTCACTACAATTGCATTATAATGCTGCTGCTTCTGCTGTTGGCACCTTGTTGCAATAGAATCACACTTTGAATTAGGTTGTGTGTCATCACTGACAGCAGCTCATTGGAAAAGAAGGATGGAAATGCCCTGCATTCACCCTTATAAATGCTGCTGCCCACACGCATCAATAAAACCTTATTCAGTATTTTTTTTCCTGTTTCACCAAAAATAATATTATTGCAAATTTTATTGAAATTTTGTAATATAGTTTTGAGACCCCCACCCCTAATTACAACAAAACAAGCTCCATTCACTTATATCTCATGGGCGCCCCCTAGAAAACTGGAAGTTATAGAACTTGGAGTTAAATATCTCTGGTGTCACAAAGCCTGCGACTTGTAATTTATCGGGTGGTGACATCTCCAAACCAAGGAAACAATAATATAAAATAAAATGAGACATAAAATTAAAGTTGAATTTAAAAAAGATGAATTGAAATATTATAATAACACATATCCAATAAAATAAAATCTTTTTTTATATTTAATTCATTTAATTAATACTGTGACACATACGTGTGTCACAGTATTAATTATTATTACACAGTATAGCTGATATACGTATATATCAGCTATTTAAATTCTGCTGATTAGAAACTGATTCCCTGAGTCCTTGTGTTACAGGTAAAGGGCTGTGAATAGCTGACAGGCTACTCTCTGCTCTACATGAATTGAATCTGAAGGCTGGGAAGGATGCAGCTTTTAGCGGTCAGGGAAAAACACTGGGTCCAAATTAGCATAAACAGGAGCACAAAAGAAACAGGGGATAAGAGCGAAACAGAAAACAGTGTTGTCAATAGGACCCCCCAGTGAGGAATTTCAATTTCATATATCTAATTATCCCTGTCAGATAGAAAGAAGTGACAAAAAGCTGTCTTTGTTCTCTGTCTTTATCTCCCGCATCTCTCTCAATTAATTTCAGCATACGAATATGACTAATTGTCTCTCTGCAGCTCTGAAGCCACATAAATAATAATTTCGACCCATGTTTGAGGGAGGGGTGGGATGTTCGTGCTTCGGTTTATGATATTTGGACACAATGGTTTGTGCATAATTCAGGTGATCACGTTAGCAGGCCGATCCAACCTCTCTGTAGACATCACCCTCTGCCCCACAGTCTTGTAGTCCGCATAATACCTCTATACTTTCCCTCTTTTGTAAACAAAAGCGTTATGTCTCTCATTTCTGTCACTGGGCTTGTTTCTTTGTTTAGAGTGGTGATATTAGCATCATAATCAGACAGAAAGAAAGAGGCGGCAGTGATGGTTGATTTATGCATGGTTTATGAGGAGAGACCAGCTAAACCAGTCAGCATCTGCTATGAATTTTCCAACATGTTTAGGTTTAGACATTCATGTTATAACTGAGTGATTTCAACATATAGTACTTTAGTAACTGATCTCTTTTCATTGGTTTATTTTCAAACTTGGGTGCTTTCAGTTATAGGCCTTTTTTTTTTACTGTTTATATTGTAATTACAAGAAGCACTCAAACTGCTCTTACAACTTTTTCCCTTCATCCAAATTTCTATACCCTTAAAGTATTGCACTTTGGTTTGTGACTCTGATGACTGTATAATTAATTGATATCCTATTCACTCTAAGAGACCTTGTCATTTCCCTCGTATCAAGCAAACAAAAAAAATATATCAAGTGAGGACGAAGGACGAAAATATGCGCTCGTGAAAAGATGTTTTATCACTTACTGACACTGACATAAAAAGCTCTTGAAGGATGGCGCTGAAGTGATGACATTTGTTTATTCACTCAAATGTGCCTAAAAAACAATCAGCACAACCTAAACACAATGAGCCAAACATCTGAAACCCGTCTAAACAAAGCGGCAGTCGAGCCTGTGCACTCCAACCATAAAACATACTCAGTCATTCACTCAAAGTGAGAGAGGGAGGGCAGCGAGGAGGGGGAGCGGGGGGGATGGTATTGTTACATTTCATTAGACACATTCCTTCTCTGTGGACTCTTGACCAGTTGCCATGGCAGTTCAGCTGACCACATTTCATATCAACTTCTCTTTCTCTCGGTCTCTAAGTCTTTCTTCCTTTGTTCTTTGTTTTATTTCGGTTTTAAACCAAGTGATTTTAATGACACTGCTCTCTTCAATACAACAGTATATTCAAGACATTATAAGAGATAGATTTGGCACTCAAGACTCCATTGCAACAGCAAAGATAATGGTAGAAATATAACTTCCATGAAATCAAAAAAGCTTTTTAAAACTTTGTTTTTGAGGCATAACGGGTTGTAACTAGCATCTAGAAAAACTTCAATTCAATAAATATTAAAATGCCAACAAGGTTTGACTCGTTAAGTCGTTAAGAGCCAGTCACACAGACCTAGAGTCCAGTCAGCAAATGTGGCAAACACTGTTTGTGGGGGGAAAATATGTCTTCCCCAACCAGGTGTGGGTGGCTGCTGGAGGTTGTTGGCAGTCGCTATGAAATCAATTGCTAAAGCCCTATTCAGGTGACCTGTAGTTACCAGATGGGTTACTGGTCTTGAAGGAAAAGAGTTTTACAACTGTTGATGAGTGGTTGCTGGAGGTGGCTGGCAGTTGCCAGTATGAAATTGGTTGCAAAGAGATAAATGGTGCAGCATTAAAACCTCCTTGGGATTGTTTTGGTCACTAGCAGGTTGCTGTGGTTGCCATCAGTTTGCATGGATGAGGCCAACTTGTCTGCAAACACTAATAAACTATTTGCCAAGGGGTAGTGAAAAGTGCTAGGCAGAGAGGAAATGGAGAATATTTGCTTTAAAAATAAATGTTGCACCTTACCGTTGCGATAAAATATTGCATCAATAAGGCACAACTTTTACTTTGAAAGTGAATGTTCTCCACTTCCACTTGGCATTACCCTTCTTCAAATTTCTGTACAGCTTGGAGATTAGATGGTTAAGGTTTAGAGGAAATTCACTGTCTTACATGCAAATTGCGAATGATCATGCCAATCTGCAACCAAATAAATCATAGATTTTTGGAGGTTTTTTGGGGTAGCTACGCTCTTTGTGACCAATTTCACCTTGTAAGAGCTAGCAAAGTCCAGTAAAGGCTAGCAAAGTCCAGACACCATTTGCCAACCAGTCAGTGAACTGAGCTTGCCAGGAGGTTGCTTGTTGGTTTCTACTCTAGGGACTAAGCCATTTTGATTCAAGATGAACGGCTGAAATATTTGTGGTTCTGCTTAAATGCAAATAAGATTTGCAGATCTGTGGGAATATTTATATCTCCAGTATTCAGCAAACAGCCAAAATGACATATTATGACATTCTGCTTACAGGTAGGTGAAAACCTTTAGTTACCTATAGTTAAGCGTCATCGGCAGAGAGATGACACTCTCGGTTATTCGGCAGCTACTTTCAAAGAATTAACCAAAAATGAACAGCAGAACCAGTAAACTGCTATGACAATGGTGCTACACTGATTCAGCAGTTTCAAATCTGCTGTAGCTTCATCTGCTTGAGAGCACCCCAAAGATGTAGGCAAGTGTACTTACCAATTTGTTGAGCTTACTGTATCCATAATGTGATTAGCAAGGCAATTGTTCAAGAGCGTTTTTAGGATAAGTCACATGTTGATCGTGTCTGCACACTTTTCCACATGCCACACACCTGTGGGGTAAAGCAAAATGGAAACTTTATTTTGGAGCATAATATTCACAATTTAATAATAAGAAAGTAATAATAAAGACAGCTTTATGTTACATTACAGTGAAAAATAATACTGAAAATGAAACAAGTGGTTTGAAAAAATATCTCGTAGGTAGCACTTTTCTATTAAACTTTGCTTTAACACAACATCCAGGCAGGCAGCTTTCTTTCTCAACATTTGCATATTTTGATGAGTCAACATCCTGAATCAAAAAAAGTGCCACCAATAAAAGTGTAACACTATGCAAAAATCCTTCAGGACGAAGGTCATTATTGACACCTGATGTAGCTAAACCCGAAAATGGAACTGAGTCGCATTCATATTAACAAAATGCAACCTGTCATTCAAATCCAGGGGCACAGTTAGTCCAACTTTCCAAGCACCCATTAATTAGCATTTTTCCATCAACAGTCAAGTGTTTGCTAAAAAAAAAAGGGGGGGAAAGGACGATAACAGAGGGAGACGAAATTAATTTGCATTCAGTGTATAAATAGTTCCAGGACAAGGGCTGTTAAGTTTGAAATTAACATGTAAACAGTTGGAAAGTCTGCCCTGCTACTCCCTATCCCCTTCTCCTTAACCCCCACCTCTGGTTCCCTTTTAGCGCCTTGATAAATATACATAAAGCCCCACACAAAGACCGCCTTGTTCCTTCAAATGGGCTACTTTTTAATGGAGACATATATTTCCAGGATTATATCAGCATTCAGTTGCAAATTTTGAGTTTTTAATACTCCAGTTGGGACAGTCTATGAATAAGAGTATCATTTGAATGCAAGGGAACACCTGGTGCTGAGGGGCTGGGCTTGGAGGGGGTTTTGAGCTGACCTGGTGACAGTGCCAAAGCTTCACTTGTTCCCAGAGTTTGCATTCAGATTCTCCCAGACTCGGTCATCGCTATGATACTGTAGAGTGCACATTTAAAGTTATTCTCCTGTCTTTTAGATGCCAAAGACATGGCGCGATGACGGCTGCTACATTTGAAGTTGGAAGCGTGAACAGTGTGAGCTCAAAAAGTTGGAAACTCTTAAAGTGGAATTATCCAATATTGCCACGCAGCAGCTGAGAATTTCTTTTATTTCTGAAGTAGTGTTTTCAGTGCCGCGATCTGTCGTACAACTATATATTAACTACATTTTTGCTTATGAACCTTTGAAAATCATCATTATTATTTTACCTTTGCAAACACCTGCTGCTTCTGGTTTATGCCGATTGGTTAAAACACAAACAAGAACTCTGAATTCAAAACTGTTACGAGAAAACAAAGGGGAAATTTTAAAAAAAACTTTCAGCTGTGCTTTTTTTGTTGTACATTACTTGGCTGCATGAGAACAGAAAGAGGTGAGGGGGAAGGTGGTGGTGGTGTGGGGGGGCTGTTTGGAGGAGGAGAGAGGCAGGGGTACAGGGTCTATTCGTATGCACCCCACATCCACTCAACACACAATCAGGCCTGTATTGCGTTTTGCAAATTTATACCCAGGATGTTGGTTTAGAGTGTTTCCCTGAAAAAAAGAAAAGGAGAAGGATTTTTTTTTTCAAGTAAGTGTCTGCTTTCATGAGCAAGAGTGATTGAGGCACACAAACAAACCTTTGTTTCCTAGCTCACAGATGCAAGGCCCGAGCTCTGATTTACACCCTACCCCAAGACACATTTCTACTTATTTTTAATACGTTGCGACTAAGACTTTATGAAAAATAGGCTTATTGAACACTCAACGTCATTTGTGGTCACCCCTCAAAAAATAAATAAATAAATAAATAAAATGGTAATGCATGAGGAAATCACACTGTTAGCAATATCCACTCCACGCTGTGTATCCACTAGCCATTCAAACCAGCCTGTCTTCTCCCTCAAAATATTTGCACAGCCTCATGTTTGCAGTGACGGGAGAGCTGTACTCATGAGAAGACAATCCATAGCGAGACGCAGGCAGTCAAAGTCAAAGGCACGGAAAGCTGAAGCGAAGGGGTACCGAAGTGTTGAAAAGTTTGACACTGATTCGATGTGAATATTCATGTTTGGGTTTTACTAAAGCAAATGTAATAAGGCCGTGCAAACACTTATATCACATGTCATCGTAAAATATCAGTTTGGCTGTATTTCTTCTACTTTCACCAAATGTTGTTTACAAAAAGAAATTGTATATTTGTGCAATACTTGCAATGTATTCTGCATCAGAGGAGTGGCGATGTCTTGACTAAATGTTTGCCACATCAAATCAATGTGTTATATTTGAGCTGAGAACACGGTCAAGTCGGTGAGGCTGCTGACAGCATGTTTACGTCAGTCCCAATTAATAATTAGTTTAATGATTTGAGCCCTTGACATGTGGCCCTCGACAAATGTGGGCAGGAAAATGCACACTCTGTGCCGTTTGCATAAATCTACCGTTTCAGCTCGAGCTGAGGGGGAAACGGAAGGACAGGAGAGAGTGAGAGAAAGCGAGAGAGCGCGCGAGAGAGAGGTGAGGGAATTATAGGACTCAGATGTGTGTGATTGGCGGTTCCCTTGGCTCCCAGGGTTAGAGAGTTCAGAGAAAAGCCGATTATTGCTCTCCCTCAGGTCAAGCCTTCATAAATAAACACGGGGAGAGCCCGAGGCACCGTGTTTTAGTATGATTAGCATATCATACAGGCTATCGACATGGTACTTATCATATTACAGCGCAGCCGTCCTCTGAGCACACGGAGGTTACATGTACGGGGCTGCTGAGCATACATCTCTGTTCATTAGAAGGCTCCTCGGGGAGAGAATAAATCATATCAGCACGTGGTTATACCAGCCCAGGCGTTTGACTCCGCCATACAGCGGATGTTAACCAGAGCCTTTAATAAGCTGGAGAAGAGCTGACAGTTAGCTTCAGACTGATGAACAGCGGAGGAGACGAGGGGCAACGATAGGGAGGATTGATAGTAGGAGGGAAGTACACTGAGAGGCAGAACTGTGGTACATGAAACTAATCTCTGGACCACTTTTCTGACATCTTACACTTGCGCTGGCCTCCTGAGTGTTTGGACCTGACTTCATCCTGGACACTTTTGAATCTGCATGCCAGCTGCATGTTAACTGGGTCCATTATGTCCTCAGCATTACAATTAATCTTACAATGAACCTTAAAGTTCTGCATGATTACCAATTACATGTTGGGACTAAGATACCAGAGGCCTTATTTCATTACAAAAAATATAAGTGAAATGAAACAAAAGGTACCATTTATATATATTTAAAAAGACAGAATTAGCATTAGTGTTTTTATCAAAGACGAGCAAATGACTAAACAAACTACTGAAGCTTCATCTGGATTCATCACTTGGCATCTGAAAAAGAGTACTCTCACCTGCCCAGTAGAGGTGGGTGGATTGATCCAGATATTGATAGTACCGATACAATTGCTAATACTATCAAAATACTATCACAATAGGATCGATACTTTGATACTATCTTCTAAGTTCAGTGTGTAGCCCAGTGAATTGTGCTTAAAGGTGTTTTGTTGTGTTAATTTGCTTGTGGTAAAGTTGTCATTTAAGCTAGTTTCTGTAAAGCTCAGTGAACAGCAGACACACAGCGTGCACAGTTCTATCCTAACAATCAGAAATTGTGGCTGGATTTACTGAGGAGAGTCAGCCTGTCATGATAGTGCAAACCATGAATGCTGCATGTATCAACAAGTACCAGTTCCAACAAAGTTAAAATAAAAATGTAAAAAAAAAGTAAAACTGCTTTTTAAAGTAAGAAAAAAGTTTTAGTTACCAAATCTAACATAAGAAATGTCCAACCTGACTCAAGTCTAGGCTTTTTAGTAAGACTGGCAGACTTGAACTCAATGACTGTGGTCACTGGCTACTTGGAATTGTGATCCGGTGTAATAAAATATGAAAAGGGTGACAGATTTTGGTGCAGTGAACAGAAAAAATAATGTTTCTATGGATGATAAAATTAGCCCAGAAGGAATTATGACTGTGTCTTAAAACTGCACGGGATGGAAGTCACCCCAATTCTCAGACACGCTGCTCAGATTTCAATTTACGGCAAGCCTTTTCTCCTTAGCTACACAAGCTCAGCTCACAGACCAGGGGCCACAATTAGCAGCTAGCCATTCTGACCAGGGAGAAAGAGTTAATGACATCCGCACCTAAGCCCTCCTAAGCCTAGGGAGCCGGGGCACCGAGGAGCCTCAGTGCTCTCCTCCTTCCAGTCAAGCGTGGCCTCTTTAGGTGGTCCGCACACACATTGGAGGGGATGATATATTCTAACTGGTATTAAAATATCCTCCAGGAGGCCGGGCTGCCGGGGATGGCCAGCTGGGTGGATATACAGTAAGAGGCTACAATGCAAAAACGGGGATATTGGATGGGTGTTTTTCTTGTTTGGGCTTCATGGTGGTGGCACAAAGCTGGGATCAGTCAGGATGCCATGTCGCCTGGATAATCACACCCACCACTGGCATGGATCTTATGCCAGAGAGAGGAACAGCAAACATCAGAAGCATATATTTAGTTTTGAGACCTAACATTAAAAAATAGGAAAAAGTCTAAACAATATCAAGTTTAAGGTTTTTATTTGACCTCATCGGACTGTTTGCAAATTTCCTTGCATTGTTGTCTGCATACAGCACCACGCAATAATAACACTTTATTAAACGATCCCACCACGTTTCCATTTACTCCATCACGTCCGTGCCTGTGTGTGCATTTCTCTGTGTGTTCTTAAGTGATGCCATCCCCTCGTGCCCACCCCTCAAATCCCCACACCCCACCCACCCATGCAAATTAGAACTTCACACACGGTGCGGCAAGCTGCTGGGTGCTCTGTGATTTCACACGACCAATTAAGGCCCTCTTGGCAGTTGTGTGAACAGTTTCATTAGAGGAGATAATATTGCAAAGTGAAATGATAAGCAATCATTATGATTAATGCCCAGACATTACATTGCTCGTTAATGAGGTGTAAATGATCTCA